CCCTCCCATGTAAATTGATTCCTGGATGAATGAGAATGATTGGGAATGATTGAAATACAATGGTAGCAGGCCTCTACTGAATGGCCTGTAACGACTGGGCCATCACCTTGCATTGATTCATCCAGGAACCATGGTCCTCACCCAGGAACAGAGACAAGAGCAGCATTTGAAATCCAAAAGACCCTGCAAAACCAGCAACTCTCACCACTGCAGACACCTGAAACTGCACATCCCTGCTTGAGCTCACATGCTCAGTACGCCAGGGGCTGACCCTTGCATGGGCATGCCGCCTGTCAGTAGGGTCACACAAGGTCTGCCCCTATAAAAAGGGGCAGTGAAGACAGACCCAGTGGGAACACCATTTCCATCTGGACCAGCACCATGCCACACCACCTATCCACCCAGAGGCCCTCCCGGCGACCCCCCTCTGGACATTTCCTGGACAAGGACCCTTTTGCAGCCTGGATAGGTAGATATTACCTGCACACCTCCTCCTACGATTTGGACTCTCTCTCTCTCATTCTCTCTCTCTCCTCCTGGACTTCAGTGGATTTCAGCCCCTGCATCAAGCCTCTTTAACCCCTGCTGCCATTTTGTGCGTGTGTGTGTGGGTGCAAGGGAATCAATTTGACATTGTGTCACCATCTCCCCTGTTCAATAAAACCACTGTCATTTGCAACCCGGAGTTGGGTCATGTTTTACTGAATCCCAGTCCCTTCCTTATCTTAAATTCCAGCCTCATTCTCTCTTTCTCTCAGCTCTAGCCCCAACCCCTCTCCACTAGTTTCACGATCTCCTCCCAATTCTATCTCCCCTTTTCTGTCACCTCTCAGCCTCCCTTACTTCTACTACCTTTTCCCTGTTACTTTCTGCTGCCTTTCTCTGCTTTTCTGCTGCCCTGCCCCTTTTCTTGTGATGTTCTGCTGTCCGCCTCTTTGTTTTCAGGCTTCCCCCGCACCTTCTGTAAACCTCCCCCTTCCCCTCCCCACAGCTTTCCAGCTCCTCTTAGCTGTCCTGCAGTTTTCTCCAGCAGCTGGAGCCTTTCTCCAGCTTCCAGCACCTACAGCTGCTCCCTGCAACTTCTCTAGCTGCCCTGGAGCCATCCTCTGGCTCCCCACACCAAGAGCCCCTCTTTAGCACCCACACTTTCCCTTAGTCCCATTTTCCCTGTCCCCATCTACCTTTTCAGCTCCCCCATAGCTCTGGCTCCAATCCCAGACTCTGTGCTGGCATGCTTCCCTGTTCTGCAGGCTTTGGGCATTGTCTTTTAATCTATTAAGATCAATTAACCTAAAGTTACCCCCAAGCCTCAGTTCTTCAGCCCAGGCCCCTCTAATCTACTGGTTCTAATCCCAGTCCCAGTGACTTTAATTTCCAGTAACTTTAACTCCCTACACTTCTACTTTCTTACCTTAACCTTTCTCCAGGTATCCCAAGTACACCAAGCACATGCATACATACATATCACAACACCCAACTTAGGAACTCACCTGTGTGTATGTGTAGGTGGGTGGTATGTATGTAAATTAGTGAATACACATACATATACATATATAGATATCATTGTATATGTGTGTGGTATATGAATTAGTAATCCATGTATGTGTATTGGATGTGCAGGTGTTGGTAACTGATTCTGTCTAAATTTGGTGTGTGTAGCGTGTATGGGCTTAAACTGGTGATAGGTGTGCATGAACCTAAACTAGTTATTTTGAACGTGTGTGTATCTGAGTTGCTAGCGTGAGTGAGTGAGTGTGTGTGTGTGTGTGTGTGGCATATATATATGGCATTGTGTGCATGATAAATGAATTAGTGATCTGTGTCTAACTTCTGGGGTGTATAGTGTATGTGCTTGAATTGGTGATAGGTATGCATGTGCCTAGGCTGGTTTGGATGTGTATGTTCCTGAGCTGGTAGTGTGCATGTGTATGCACCTAACTGATTTGTGTGTTTGTATATGTGCAATTGTGTCACACCCTCCTGTCTAACAGTGCAATATTGAGATCCTGAGAGTTGGCCTGACCCCACAAAGGCAACATGTGGATGTGCACTACTGCTCTCTATGGTGCACATGGTGTGAAATCTGTTAGAGTGCATACATCTCTAGTAGAGCTGGGCAGAACGTTTCTGTCAAAATCCTCTTCAGTGGACAATGAAAGTATATCAAACATTTTAAAGTTCTGTTCCACTAAATTGTGTTGAAAAAAATCCAACAAAAAATTCATAAGAGTGAGCCATGCTTTATTAAATGTGATTTTTCTGTTTTGCAGCATCCTTCAGTTTTATTTAAAAGATTAAAAAGTGCTCAAATCTTAAACAAAACATTTCAAACTGGGGTGAACACTGTGCAGTGAAGTATATGTTGCTAGGACATTAATTACAAGAGGTCACCATTACTAGGAGGTTGAACTTGTTAGGCTTCCAACCAGTTTGCTAGAAGCCTCACTTTTACTAACACATTTATTGTTACTGCTGTTGAAGTAACTCAGAGGGATACTAATTAGTGGATGGGGAACCAGTGTGCTAAACTCTATACATACACAATAAGGAAAACAGTCCCTCCCCAGAGTTTATTAGCTAAACTAAGATGTGGGAAAAAGGGATGAAAGGCTGGACCTAGTTGGTAGTCCCAATCTGGTGCCTAAGGTGGTCATGGTGGGACCTTATCCAGCCAGGCAGAGTGGGGGAGGGAGGGCAGCCTAGTCCCAACCTTAGGGAGAAAAGGGGATTGAAGCAGCTTCAACATGGCCCTGTGGAGGGGGGGGGGACAGGGCGCTTGACCCAGCCACACCTTGGCTCCATGGGAGGGGAGGAGGCATGGCCTGGCCCCGATTCAGCATCAGGATGGTGCGGGGCACATAGTACAGTCTCCAAGTTGCTAAGCAGGGCTTGCCATTTGGGTTTTGGCAGCAGGGGAGGATGGCTGTGTTAACTGTTACTCCTCCTTTGCCACCAAATTTCCCAAATCATGGGGAGGCTCGCGGGCCAGATACCATGGCTCTGCAGGCCACATTTGGCCTGTAGGTTGGAGGTTGAGCACCTGTGAGCTAGAGGAATTGCAGCTGCCCCCAGCAGGAAAGAAACTGGTAGAGGATTCTAGGATTCACGGGATGTGTCTACACATTCGTTGATGCATAGTAGTTACTGCACATTTAATTTAGTACTTGCTTAATGAAGTACTAACTAAATGCGCAGTAACTTGCGCTACAACGCAGTAGCATAGGTACACGGTTTTTTATGATGCTTACTGCACAGTAGTTTAATACTACTGTGACGTAGCATATTAGCACAGTTTTTGCCTGGCATGCTACTGTGCAGAGTTATTAGGCTACTGTGCAACATGCTTCTCATGTAGACATGCCCATGAGCAAGCAAGTGGGAAAATGCTTAGGTCGGGGGCTGACTTGGAAGTATTCAGGGAACTATCTTGGACTTGAAAGGGTCTTTGGCTTTAGGCTGACCAGGTCCCCGGCAGCCAGGGATGGCAGGATCTGATAGGGAGTCTGACTTCTAGAAACACTCGTAGGAGTTTAGGTTGTAGCCAGATGAGAAAGAAAGAAACTTATCTTGGCTTTTTTGTTGTCTTCAATTTATGGTCAGTTTTCCTGATATTTTTTTTTCTTCTAGATAACAAATCCTTTTTTTGTTTTGCCTCCTTACTGATTGCCTGTGGTAAAGTGTGGTCTCTGGGAGAGTGATATTCTAGGCTATCCCATTCTATGAAAAGGGAGACCTAAAATTTCTTTTACAACCCAAAGGGAAGCCACCTGGCACTGGCAGAGATTCCCCTGGTACAGCTGTGCGGTCCAGTAAAGGGCAGCGAAGTGGAGGCTTGTGGAGATAAGGAGTTCTCCCAGGGTAAACCATAATCTGTTCCTCAGGACAGGCAGCAGGACACGGGGGCTCCCATGTGCCCCATGGATGGGTTTGTGACACTATGCCAACATGTCACCATTGATCTATCCATTTAGCTTTTTTATTAGAGTAAAAAACAGTTTTCAAAGTAAAAATATGATCTTATTGTTTGCCTTATAAAGGGCCTACTCCAAAGTTTACTGAAGTCAATGACAACTGTTTCACTGGCTTCAATGAACATTAGATCAAGCCCTTTGGTATTTATATCCAGGACTGAATTACTGTTTTTGGTTTGCTTTTTTTAAACAGAGGAATAACAAATCTGTACTGGCCCCAACTCGGAAACTCCCCTACCTGCGAATTATACAGTATTAGCTGCCTGACAAAGTTATTTTAACAAACTACCTCTTACAACTTATGCAAAAAAGAAACAGTCCAAAAAGAAACAAAACTGCTGAGGGGTTTTCTTACTGCATTGCATTCTGGAGTGGTTTTTTTGTAAGTTTACAGAAGCTTTTAAAAACATATTTGGGTCACGCTTTTTGGGTCATGCTATGGGCACACAACTCCCACTGGAGTCAACAGAAATTGTTTCCAAAGCTTCATATGAACAAATTACATTCAAATGAGGACATATAAATAATAAAAAACCCGCTGTAGATGCCATTCTCAAATTATTTGAATGATTACATGATTCCATTTCACAATGGCATTGCTTATGTGCTTTCAATTAAATCCAAACAAGAATTTGTGGTTTCCATATTCTTTAACCATGTCACTGTAAGTTGAAGAAAGATGGTTTATTTCTGTGGTTAGAAATAATATTGGATTTCCTATTTTTGTTATAGAGGATTAGTACATATTTATGACCTGTTAATTCTGGCTTATGCATTACATATGATAACAACAAACACATACTACTGGCTGTTTTCCTCTTGCAGTCACTAAGATTTGCTCTGAAGTGATGATGTGTTATGCTCATTTATTCAAAAGAAAAGAAACAAAAAAACCCGAAAAGCTGAAAATTGCAAGTTCTCAGCCTGCAGCTCTTATGACAACTCATATCCTTTCCCTCCTACACAGGCATCAGTACAGCATCTGACCCTTTTAGTGGACAGCTTTATGTATGGTAAAACAAAATCCATCCTTGCTATATGCATTGCTGATAAGAAACACTCCAATACTTTCATGGATAGAAACAAAACAAACAAATAGCATTTATCCTGAATATTTAAAGATGGGGTCAGAGGAAGCCTAATGGATTGGCTCTATATGCCATGCTGTTGATCCTGTTATTTTCAATAGACCTGAATAGCTTTTCAGGGAAGGACTATAGGGGCATACACCACCAACAGACTCCAAACACAAAAGTGACAAAACACTTCCAAATTCAGCTGAGGCTGACAGAATGGGATGTTTCTGTGAGATCTTCATCTAAAGCCAGATGTTTTCACAGGGTCATGTTATTGTGAAGCTTAGCAGCTTTCAGATGGCCACTGCAAATCCCTAGAGTGTTTTTAGACTACTACAGAATGACTTTAATTTGCATGTTAAAAGAGAGGCAGACTTGCTTTATAGGTTTCTTTTCTGTGTTTCCTCTTCCTTACTCCCATATGTAGTATCTTCCCTGCAGATGGCATGATAGTATGTGCATGGGAATTTCTCCTTTGCTATAGCCCCTGTTTGTTCGTCATACAACGAATCATCCCTGGTGTCCAATATTTCTCTTGTTAAACTTAAAAAGGAAAAAAAGAGGATATGCTTTTCATTTAGTGAAGACATCTGGTTTGTTGTCAAGCCTTATGGAAATCTGACTTCAGGACCATGGCTGTGCATTTCCCTTTATTAAGGAGCAGAACTGTGTCTCAGGTTTATGGGCATGCATTGTATGCCTGTGTAAATTAGCTCTGTATGTTCAAGGGGATTTGTGCTGCAGCTGTGAGCTGTACCGGCTTCTCAATGCATTGTTCTTTGGCACTGAGGCTGTAGATAGAGCAAATAAACAGGTTAATGGTCAGAAAGACGTCAGGAGACAGACAATACCCATGTAGAGTGAACAGGTGATACCAGTTCAGACAAGGAAGGCAAATCAATCACAGCTGAGACCAATGCAGCTAGCAAATCAGATCCATCTGCTGGTAGGACATTTGGATTATTTTAACAGTTTTAAAACCATTTGTGAAATTCAGTTATAGACAAATTAAAAAAAACAGAACCTCCTCTGTACACCATGTGCCAGCCTAAATTAGCCACTAATGAAAGCAGATTGTATTTAAGGGATTTTAATATAAATTAAGTTAATGATGACATATTCCAAATAGTACACTCAGAATCAGTCTGTAATAACAAGCTAACAGATGTTGGCATTTTTATTATTAATTATACATTTCATTATCATATGATTATTGTCAAACATCTTTTGACAGCAAAAAGTGTATAAATGCTTCACACACTTTTTTATGTTGTAAAGATGATACGTGCCTGATTTTTTAATGAGTAGACTTCAATATGCTAATGCAATATATTTTTAATTTTAGCAACCTCAAATGTAAAATACTTTTAAACATTGCAATATGCAAACTATTTAATCTAAGTATATGGAGAGGGAATATATATTTTAAAATAAACAGTTGACACAATGGAAATGTGGTGGCATAGTTTTTATATTAAAATTGCTTTAATTAGTAACAGAAGGTAAATTATCTCTAATATAATTAATAAACATAATTTGCTTCTACTATCCTTGTGGATATGAAATGTATGTGTTGCCAAATACACTGCTAACATTTGTCAGCTAATGAAATTCGAATTTTGGAATGCTGTCATTTTCCAAAAAATTGCAATATGAGTGAATTTCATTTTAAATTTGTTGAAAAATGTGTAAAACCTTTTCTTTAAAGTGAACCACTATAAGCTATCTTACTGATTCCAAATCTCATTACTTGTAGCCTTAAGACTGCAGTTTCAGCAATTACTGCTGTAAGTACAGTAAATATCTTCAATGAACCATTTGGGTGGCAGGAGTAAATCTCCGCTGGATGTCAGATTGGAGCTCTCCAAATCAAATGCTGGTACGCTTATCTGTCTAATCACCTAGGGTTTTTTTGCTTACAGTTTTCCAGGTCAGCGTAATCTTTGCTCATTCAATAAATATTAAATACTGTATATGACAGTTCTCCAAGGGCAACACTGGTCTCACAACATCATTTAGTTTAATATAATCAAACAGCAGTCATGTCTGAGAGAAAGGTGAATTTATTTCAAAGAGTGTTTGATTTTTTTTTATAGTGAGGATCATTTAGTAATTGTTAAACAAGTCATAAACATCCTTGCCAAACTCCATCACTTCAGAATGCATGACTGGTAAATGAAAATGGATACAAATTACACTCTTTGCTTCTGCAGGACTTGAAAAGCTTGGACATGGTAATAATTCTGTCTTCATGTGTCCCTCACGCCCACTTACCATTTCAGAATCAAGTCTTTTCAGTGAGTCTCTTTCTCTCTCTCTCACTGAAGTTTCATAGTTTTTGCACCAGCTATTACTATTCTGTTTTTAGCCATAGTTCATGAGAAGGCTATTTCAACTTATTTAACACATATGTTCTTCAGGTGCATGTAATCTAGGTTTGGAAAATATCCATTACCAAGAGGTCTGATTCTAGGAGCAGATTACTCTTGGCTGATACAGTAAATTGTTTAACCCTAACAATGAAGCATCCTTTTAAATAAAACAAACGGCCATTTTTGTAACTACTAACCTTATTACACTGTGTTTTAAGAATTAACATAATGTGTTTGTAACTAGTTACAGGAACACCATGTAGTTAAACATAATGGATTTTTGAGGAAATAATGACACTAAGTCAGGGGCAGGCAATTATTTGGGCCTGTGGGCCACACAGGCAGTTCTGGGGAGCTGCCATGGGCCGGTCAGCAACCCCCCCAAGAACAGCCTAGAGCCCATGCGCCCTGCGGCTCCTCCCTGTCACCACCAACATCACAGCCCCAGCCCTGACCCCAGCCTGCCCCATGCCTGCACCAGACTCACCCCGGCTCAGTAGACCAGCTGCAACCTGTATGAACACCTCCAACCCTGGTCCACCCCACATCTGCTCCAGACCACCCGCTCAAGCTTAGCAGTGGTGGCAGCCAGGCAGAAGCTGCTGCTAGGTATGGGGGAAAAGCAGCCGCCTCTCCCTCACCTTTCCTGGGCCCTACTTACTGCAGACGCCCAGAGCTTGCACCTGGGCTGCCCTGTGGCACCTCTCCAATGCCAAGACTGCCACTTCTAGGCCACCTAGCAGGGCAGTGGTGGCAATGCAGAGGAGCTGCAGGGCAGCCTAGGCGTGGGCTGCAGCCTAGGCGTGGGCTCCAGCCTAGGTGTGGGCTCTAGACAGCTACCGCAAGAAGGGCCTGGCAGCGGCAAGGGGGAGGGGCTGTTTTCTCCTTGTGCCAAGCAGCAACTGCTGCCTGACCACTGCCACTGCTGCTCAGCATGGGTGGGTGAGTCTGGAGCAGGCCAGAGTCAGGGTGGCCAGAGTCAGGACTGTGCACACAGGTCCCCAGCAGTACCACGGGGCTGGGGCCAGTGGAGGCAGCAGCCAGAAGACACTGTCACTGCCTGGGCTGCCTAGAAAGGTAGTCCAGCTGTGGAGCCACCCCAGACCCGCTGTATGTCCAGGGGGGCAGCAGAACATACCACGGGCTGGACGGCACCTGGGCCAGCCAGGACAAAGGGATCCACCGCAGGCAGGACAAAGTCCCTCCGCAAGCTGGATCCAGCCCACGGCCATCTTTGCCCGCCCCTGCATTAAGTGGGCAGCAGGCTGCAGATGGAAAGCAGCAAAGCTCTGCTGAAACCAGTGGGATGATGGCAATAAATACTAGCCAAGGATCTAGTCCATACATATACCTTTCTTACTAATATCTCTGCCTATTAACATTTTAAATGTATAGGCACAGAATTATTTTCTTTCCAGTGAATTATTTTCTTTCCACAGTACTTCTTCGAATCACTTAGCATTTCCAAAATGAATCTTTTATGGAATCTCCTGTTGGGCATTCTGTGATGCGACTCATCCATCTCAGCGGTGTTTGTAACCTCATTGCCAGTTATATTTTTCTTTATATGGTCTTTACTATTTGACATATGATTCTTCTCCTTCAGTTTGGTTTACAGGTAATTCTGGTGAAAGGATTCAAGTGACTTGATGTTTTGAACCTAGATGCCTAAAAGCAACATTGGAATTCAGTGCTAGGCTACTGAAGGCTATTCTAATTTCATTTGATTTTCCATCATGAGAAGTACTGGGAACCTCTTATCATGAGTAATAACAAGGTTTCTTCTTGAATTACTAAGACCCAATCCTAGTGGAATCTGGCATAATTCCAATGCAACCTATAAAGTAGGTAGAGCCGAGTAAACAATTTATGGTGAATAATGCATTGTACAAATTTAGCCTCTTGTTCTGTTTGTGATTTGCCTGTGAGCATTTCACAACCTGTTTTGGTTCCTTCATTATTCAAAATCATTTGACATATAATTTCACTAAATGATCCTAGGTTTCTTGATGTGAGTATTTCTTTGTGATATTCAAAATTCAAGATTAGTTGGTGAGTTATGATTTGGCATGTAGCTCATGGAGTTTAATTTCTCCTTTTTGAGGATGGATCTCTCTCTTGGAATCAGATTACTGAACAAGAACGTTTCCATGAATATTTTTGCCTAATATCTAATTGGAAAATAACGACTTCCCTTAAAAAATACCTTAAAGATGCACAAAACGAAGAGGTACAAAAACAACAATACCCCAAACCCACCAACCAAAACCAGTCCTTATGTAAGAGTTATCTGCTGAACTGCCTCACAAAGGAGTAGGAAAACATTACAGCCTGAAGTTCATTCCTGGAGCCATGCCTCAGCCTGTTGAGGAACTTGCTGTGAATCCAGCAGTGCCTAAAGCCTAAGGAAAAAAAGTCCCTGGGCTGTTCAGTTCCACCTTTGTTTAAAATACTCCATATCTTCCCTCTTCACCAAATTAAATCTTTCCCTTCACAATAAAAAAGCAAATCCAACCAACATGTAACATGCCATGCCCATTCTAGGTGACATTCCCTGGAACCCCCAAAAAGTTAGGGACAGTATTCAAGTGATCACTTCAGATTCTGGCTGTAACTTTCTCACAGACAGCTCCCAAGTGCAAAAAAAAAGATATTTAGGGTATGTATTTTAACAGTACTCCAACTCTTACTCACTACCATCTCAGTTATCAGCAAATGAAAGAAAACGGCAACTCTTAACAAATACATAGTTTGCTGTTCTGTTTGGGCTGTACAATACAGTAATAATTGGCCTCATATGTATTTATGTTCCCCAGAAATAGCTCCTGGTGCTAATACTTAAAATTCCTCTCACAGGAACAGGCTTCTTAAACATACTTTTCTCCCATTACACTCTCTGTTTAAGAACTAGAGTGCATGTCTTGTGCATCTCCACTTCACTTTCCAGGCCATCAATGGTCACTTAAGATGACATCTTGTGCTGTGCCTCTTAGAAGAACAGCTCATAACTTGTAGCAGGCCAACTTGAACAGGCCAGCTATAGTGATTGGCCTGTTCTGGGGCTGGAATGGTTGTACCTGAGATTAACATGGTGTAGCTTATGGCCTGTCTACACCATGCCTCTGGCACTTCAAAGGAGCATCATTCTTGAGCGCATCCCCTCTCTACCCATTTCATTTGCATAAGCCAACCCCCCAAAAATGTGGCAGAGAAGTCTCACTGAGATTGATTCCAATTATGTCTCTTAAGCATGCTGGAGACAGAGGATCTTGAGAGCAGTGGTTCACCATTTCATTTCCAGGTGTGTGAGTGGGAGCAAAAGGGTAGGGCATTTTCAAGAGAAACAGTCCCCTGGAGCAACAGAAATACAGTGTAGAAGTACAGGGTGTTTATAAAGTCCTTGTGCAACTTAAAACTTT